TAATAGTTCCTAATAGTTCTCTGTATGTCCAAGGTATTTGTTTTCTTATTTCCTTTCTTGTCTCTGAGCCTGTTGATGCATATATTCTTCCTCCTTTATTTAATTAGTTGAGTTAATGGGGAGCGTATTTTGTTGATTTTCTCAAAGAACCAGGTCTTTGATTCATTGATCTGATGCACAGTTCTCTTGGTTTCTATTTGGTTTATTTCCTCCCTTATTTTGATTTTTTTTCTTTTTCCTACTAATCTTGAGATTACTTTGCTGTTGCTTTTCTAGTTTCTTCACTGTAAGCTTAGTTTATTTAGTTGGTGTATTTCTAGTTTCTTAACATACACATTGTTGGGAGTTCTGTGGCCCTCCTGTATAACACTTTCTAATTTTTCCTCCAGATTAGAGAAGCCTTTGTTTATTACTTCATTGAATAGGCCTTTAATCCCAACTTCTTTCTTTCTGCACCTTCAAAGAACTCCCATGACTCTTATGTTGAGCCTTTTGATTCCTCAATACATATTTGCTTGCCCCACTTCTGCTTACAGCATTTTGTTTGTTTCTTCATGATGACAGGAAATATTTTCCAATTCTGAAATTCTTTCTTCTGCTTCATTCATTTTGTTTTTGAGACTTCATTCATTTTCTTTTGTACTTTTAATTTATTGCACAGTATTTGTAATTTCTGATATATCTTTGATTTGAGTCATTGCTGCTATTTCCTGTGTAACATATTGCTTAAGTTCCTTGAACTGCTGTTTATGCTTATTGTTGTTCAGAAGCTTTATCATGAGTTTTCTGAATTCTGTGTCCCCCATTTTTCCATGTCTTCCTCAGTTAACTTTGAGGGTGGTTGAGGCTTTTGCTCCTGTGCTGGATTGTCTTTAGTAATATTTATAATGCCTCTGTCTCTTCTTTTACCATTTGCCATTGCCATTCTGGTTGGCAGATTCCTCTTTAATGGAAGTTTCTAAGATGTATTACCTACAGGTCTACAAGTTGATTTTTATGTTTAATCGGTTCCTTGGATTAGGAAAACACCAGTTGTCCTAAATAACTCTTTTTTGGCAGCTCTGATGTTGTCAACACCTGATGGCCATTAAGTCTGAGTGCCTCTTGGAATTATTTTGGATGGAGTTTGTAGGGTGCCATGAAGGCACTGTTTTTTCCTGTGGAGCCTGTGCAGTGTTGTAAGATGGAGGTGATCTTGTTGCCAGCTTAGCTCTTGGGCAGCTCTGCTGTCCTCCCTTCAGTCTAACAGTGCCTGGTCCCTTGACACTGGTATCTGAGCACTACAGATTTAGCACATGCACAGTTTATCACTGCTCCTTCTGCAGATTACCAATGCTGTGAGCCCTTGCTACTCTGTGCAAGATGGTCCCCATAGGGGCGCTGACAGAGGTCCTGGGCTGTCAGCCATCAGTTCGTTTCAATTAGCTAGAAACAAGCTCATGGTAGGCCATCATTAGAAATCCACATTTGCTGCCCTGTTTCAAAACACAGGGTCCAGTTTCGTGCTGTCAGAAATTGGATTTGCTGGCTTTAACCTCCAGGGACCACACAGACCCTGCAGGGCGCAAAGCTGGTGCTACCCTCCCCATGGGATCAGTTGGTTCTGGAGTCTAGCCCAGTCTGGTGGGTCCAGGCCCAGTCTATGCTTGTGCCGAGGAATGTTGCAACCATATACAGACTGGAATGTAGCTCCCACTCTGGCCCCACACTCACCAATGAGAACCAGGATGTCTGTTAGCTTCCCAACCAGCCTGTTCCAGCCATAGATGCACTTGTCCCAGTGTTTGCTTTGACAAAGACTGGCATAGCCCCTCATCTAGCTTGGCTCTTGCCTTACATGCTATAGCCTGGCCTGACCCCCATCTTGATTCTTGCTGGTGGGTGATGGAACCTGACTCTGTTCAGTCTACTCCCATCCCTAGCTCATGTAAACCTGTAGGTGTAAGAGCCTAGCTCGGCCCTTCCTAGTCCACCCTCTTCCATAACCAACCCACACATTATGAAACAGGTGGAGCTACTTTGCCCAGCTTGCCCAACCCCCAGGCGTGGATCATGTGATCACCAGTGGCAGTTATGACCCACTAGGTGAGTTTCCCAAGTTTCCCCACTTGGCCCACTCCCAGACCCAGATCTCATACATGCCAGCTGCTGTTAGGCCCTTATCCCCAGCATAGTGTACCCTTGCATCTTTACCTTGTATGTATGAACTGGTGAATGCTATGGCTTGTCACACCCTACACCCTGTTTAAGGATGCACATTTGGGTGCTGCAGCTTGGATCAGCCCAGGCTGTTATCAGTTCCTGAGAGATGGCAGGTTCCATGGTCATACCTAGCTCCAGCCATCACCACCCCAACTCTTGAGCTAATCAGTGTTACTTATATTTCCATGGGTTTGCACCTCCACATGCCCCATAGAGTCTATCCCCAGACCTGGTTCTCTCACATGCTGGTTAGTGTCATGGCCTTGCCTAATATGACCTGTTCTGACATTCTGTCAGATACTAGGATCTAACCCTACTAGACAGACCTTCAGCCCTAGCTTTCACATGGACTGATGTGTGGTTGTCGGCATTCTCTGGTGATAACAAATCCTACTCAGGACTTCCATGTGGGTTGGTGTATCAGTCTGACCTGTACAGATCATCTGTCCTCTCCCCAAATAAGCATCAGGTCTCAGTCCCCTTTCTTATTGGCAAGCAAAGTGACCCCGTAATTGGAAATCCCTCAAGACTGATTTCTCACCAACGTGCACAGTGGCCTTATTCATGGACGTCTCTGTTTAGTAATTGCACATCCTCCAAAACCCCAGAGCTTGCCCCTGGGTGGCCACCAGGCTCTAGTTGGCTCACTGGCCAACCAAAACCCAGGACTTGCTCATTGTGTGGCAGCAGTAGCTATGGCCATGACCCCATGCAATGAACTTGACCTGGCTTGGGTACCCCCAGCAGCCACCATGCTGCCTGAAGCTCCCACCACCTAGTCCCCGAGGTCAAATTCTCCTAGGTGACTCCTGCTGCAAGATGGTGGCAGTGGGTGGAGTCAGGGGCCAACTTTGATCACAGGAGTTTGCTTCACAATATACTTAGCACAAAGGGAGAAACATGTTGGATCCAGGCAAGCCCAGGATTCCACTCAGCACTTGACAGTGGTGGCTGTGGCCAGGACTCCAAGCATTGAGTTCAACCTGTTGTTAAAATTATGTGTATTAGCTGCATTAATACTGTTTTTATATGAAAATTAGTAAATAAATAACTAGAGAAAAAACAGATAAATGAGTAATGTTAAAAGGCTTCCAAACTAGCTTTTTTAGTGTGGCATTTGCTTTGTATGTATATGTTCTGTTCAACTGTCCGATTATGACTGGCTGCTATTTGCTACTTGTTAACAGAAGATATTTCATGATGCAGTAGTTTGTTTTCCTGCTAAGCTGTATTTCACTTGGTATTAACATTTTAGTTTAAATATTATTTCATAAAAAGTAAAACAGATCTCCCACCCACCCCAGGTCCCAGATGTGGGGCATGCTCCGTCATTCCTGCTCAAGGGGTTTGACAGTTCACCACTTGACTGGTGAGGCTTCTCCCTTAATATCCCCCTTTACTTCCGGTTCATGAAGGAAACAATATGGAAATAATAGTCTTACCCACTTTCCTGTAGTCCTTGAACCTTTTAAGCCTAATTAGCTATATATAAAGATTGTCAAAAATATAATAAAAATGGCAAAAAATAAACAAAAAAGCTAAAACAGATAAAGTAGAAAGGATTTTAATGTGTACAAAATTAAAACAAAAAAAATACATAGCATACTTGTATATATTAATATCCAGATTAAGCTGTAGGAAATTTTTCCTCATTGATGTACATTTAGTTTAAAAATACTTCCAATATTTCATTATTTTATGTCGGAATAAGAAAGTTAAATTTTACTATTGCTTTGTAAGATGTTTAAATATCTCAGGATGTTTGAGAAATCATTCATAAATTATTCAAAAGCATTCTCATTATCCTGTGCAGTATTCAGCATGTGTCTTCCCTAGCTAATCTAGCTGTTACTTATCTCATGTATTTTTGTATGTGTGCAGATTACACATTGAACTCATTTTATAATTATTATAGGAAACAATCTGATACAGAATCATAATGGAATTGTAGTTTTGGAACTGCAGAAATAACAGGATAAGATATCTTATTTTGTTTTTATCCTGTGTTGCAATATAGATTCTGAATTAAGCTACATCTCATAAAGCTGCAAATTAAACAAACAGAAGAATTGCACTCAGCTTATGATTACAGGTACTGAGTTAATAGTTAGGCTCAGTGTTTATGTGATTACTTATTTTAATTTAAGTGAAAAGCAAAGTGGCAATAACAGACAAAGTAATGTCTTCCACTTGCAGGATTATTCTAACAATGCCTTCAACAGTTCCTCACATTCAGAATGTTTAGAGAATACAACCTTTTTTTTTAAAGATTTATTTTATTTTTATTGGAAAGGCTGATACACCGAGAGGAGAGACAGAGAGGAAGATCTTCCGTCCCATGATTCACTCCCCAGGTGGCTGCAACTGCTAGAGCTGAGTCAGTCCGAAAGCCAGAAGCCTCTTCCAGGTCTCTGCAGCGGGTGCAGGGTCGCAAAGCTTTGGGCCCTCCTCAACTGCTTTCCTGGGCCACAGGCAGGGAGCTGGATGGGAAGTGGGGCTGCTGGGATTAGAACCGGCGCCCATATGGGATGGCCAGGCGTGCAAGGCGAGGACCTTAACCACCTGCACCATCGCACTGGGCCTGAGAATACAACCTTTAAGAGAAAAATAAAGATATTCTATTGTAGTATTGAAATTGCACAAGTAATAAAGGACAAGATATTTTCATTTTGTTGTTACTCTGTACAGACTGTAAATTAAATTGCATCCATTAATGTTGCAAATTAAATATATACATACAGTTCACTGTCAGTGTTTTTGCGTAATGATCCAGAACTGAGGAGACATGTGCTTTATAGATGTTGGTGTCATTTGAAGATGTGGCTGTGGACTTTACCCAGGAGGAATGGCAGCACATGGACAACACTCAGCGGACCCTCTACAGGGATGTGATGCTTGAGACTTATAACAATCTGCTGTCCTTGGGTGAGTGAAACTCTGTCATGCCCAAACAGGATACTTCTTTATGGTTGACAAGTAAAAGGAGAGTTTATTAAGTTTAGTAGTTGGTAGCTCAAAATCTACATCATTTTCCATGAACAGGGTACAGCTTGACAAAGCCTGATGTGATCTTGAAATTGGAGCAAGAGTCAGCACCATGGACAGTGGACAAAGCTGTAAACCAGAGACTTCCAGGTAGGTCAGCACTTAGTGGGCATTGAAGTTGACACATAGCTCATTAAAGGTGGACTGGAACTCTCGTTTTTTTAAAATGTTTTTTCCTAAAGGACAGCTGTTGAGACAAAGGCATTCTACAGTTTCCATATGTAGGTTTATTCCAGCAATGCCTTTCAAAATTGGCCAGCCTGTAACCATACATCTAGCACTCCTTATTGCTCTTTTCATGATCCCTAGCACTTGAATCATCATCTGCCACCTGCCAGATACATTCTCAGGAAGTTGTGCTTGAGTCAGAGTACTCAAGCCAAGACAGATTGGTGCTCTTACGGGATGTAAGATATCCCAACCTTATGTTGAGTTTCTGTGCCACATTTTCACTGCCATCCTGCAGCAACTTGAAATGCACAATTCCAAGTAATTGAAATTTTCATTTAAAAAAGTTGTTATGTTAATGCATCAATAAAGAAGAAGTAATGTTCATTAATTATGCTCATAAATGTCCACATTTCACTAATATTAAATGTGCTGTATCTAGACTGGCAATAAACCTCATTGGTCGTAATTGAGCATTTTTAAGGAACACTTAAATGAGATTCATTGAGATGGTTATTCTTTTCCTCATTTCAGATTCCTACAGACAGAATGAGCTGCTTGGAGATAATCAGGAAAGTCAAGAAATAATCTTCAGGCAAGTTGTAATCACAAAAATTGTATAATAACCCAAAAGAGAATAAGATGTCTGTTTTTCTTAAGATTTACTTATTTATATTGAAAAGTCAGACATACAGAGGTGAGGAGAGGCAGAGGGGAAGATCTTCTGTCCATTGATTCACTCCAAGAAGCCACAAGAACTGGAGCTGAAGCTAGGCGTGCGAAAACTCTTCCAAGTGTTCCACACGGTTGCACGGTCCCAAGCTTGGGGCCGTAGTTAACTCCATTTTAAAAAAGAGATTTATTTATTTTTATTGTTAAGTCAGATATACAGAGAGCAGGAGAGACAGAGAGGAAGATCTTCCATCCAATGATTCACTGCCCAAGTGATCGCAACGGCTGGTGCTGTGCCAATCTGAAGCCAGGAACCAGGAACCTCCTCCAGGTCTCCCATGTGGGTGCAGGGTCCCAAAGCGTTGGCTGTCCTCAAATGCCTGTCCAGGCCACAGGCAGGGAGCTGGATGGGAAGTGGAGCTGCCGAGATTAGAATAGGCTTCCCATATGGGATCTCGGTTCATTAGAGGTGAGGACTTTAGCCACGAGGCCTCCTCACTGGGTCTCATAGTTAACTGCTTTCTTACGTCACATGCAGAAATTTGGATGGAAAGCAGGGCTGCCTGGGTTAGAACTGGTGCCCATATGAAATCAGGGCAATTCATGGGAGCAATTTATCCACTAGGCTAGAATTCTGAGCCCTGCCAAAGATGCTTAAGACATTTCCCTTTGGTTTTCTCTCAACCAGCCAGGAAATAGCTCCTCCTTTCAGCTCTAAATCTGCCCTTACAGTTCTATGCCTTTTCAGATCTCAGCTGTAGGAAGTCACATGAGTGCTCACATTGAGACAAGATACCCAGTGCAGAAACTGGTCTTTTCTCAACTCCTCTATGATCTGTAGAGTGTTTCATTTATAGGCATACATAGTTTATTTCAAAATTTTAAACCCAGGGCATTGCACATGCAGGGATCTCATATGGACACTTACTCGCATCCAGCTCCCTGCTTGTTGCCTGGCACAGCAGTAGAGCACAGCCTAGATACCTTGTGATCCTGAACCTGTAAGTGAGACCCAGAAAAAGCTCTTGGCTCCTGGCTTTGGATCATCTCTGCTCCAGGAGTTGCAGTCACTTGGGGAGTGAGTCAATGGATGGAGCATCTTCCTCTCTGTCTCTCCTGCACTCTGCATATATGACTTTCCCGTAAGATCAAGCAGAATACTTGGGGGTGCAAGGAGTCTCATCACTCCTCCTAAGAGGATAAACCAACCTGAAACATGAGAAAGGAGGCCAGAACTTGGGTATTATGTAAGATGCTTGGCATTCAGAGTCCACCTAGGGTGTTTCAAGTCATGCAGAAACGTGCCCTCTGCCAGCGATTGTCAGTCCTCTGTAAGGAGCTTCCAAACACAAGCACCCAGAGCCTAGAGTCCAGTATGAAAATTGAGGTGATAGGAAAGGTGCAGATAAGCAGTTGGTGATTTGAAATCTGAATTTGTAAACTGCTGTGCTTCCTATCTCCACCCCTCTAAAAGTGTGATCCATCTGGAGGTTTAGCTAGAGCTAGGAAGTGGTTGGGGTGTGTGTGTGTGTGTGTGTGTGTGGCTATGTTTATGCAGAGCCATGGGGTGCCAAAGGTCATTTCCACAGATTCAGTCCCACTTTACAGAAGGTATACCAGCCTTGTGAAGTATTCTCTATACTGAGCCAAGCCACATAGCTCTGGTCTGAGAACCACAAATTTGTTAATATTTTTTATTGGGCACCAGAGCAAATGTTACCAAGAAAACTCAGTGCTTCTTTCCTGAACCTACCATAGGTACAGAAACAGGAAATCAGTTGTTGACAGAAGTTTTACTTGCTAAATGACCTTTGGATGAAGGGCAGAGAAAGTACCTCCAAGAAGAGGTCTTAGAAATCAGGTTCATTTTGAAAGGAGAGAAGAAAGACACCATAGCTCATTGGAAATCTTTTCTTCCCCCAGGATGCCTGGTGAAATACCTCTTGAGATGAAGCATGCCTCTGATTTCCCTGAGACCAAACTCCAGAGTGGGGAAAATCTCAGTCAGCACGATAAGATGCACACTTGTCAGCAGTCTTTTGAACACAGTGGGAAAGAAGAAACTTTCAGCAGGAGGAAGATATTCCTTGTGAGTGAGAAAGTCTATACCAGCGACGCATGCAATAAGCAACCTGTCAGTGTGGGAGAGTCTGTGCAGCTTAAAGAGAAAATGTTAAATAACAATTCTGACTTTGACAATCATCCACAAACACACTCAGGAAAGAAATCCCAAGAGCATTTCCAGAGTGAGAAATCACTTATTTATAAAACAGCTGTGGAAGTCAATCAGATAACCCAAACAGCTAGAAGTCACTGTATATGTGGTTACTGTAAAAAGCCTTTTCACTATAAATCTTGCATTATCAGCAAACATAGAAGTGACAGAGGAGCAGATTTCTATGTGTGCAACGAATGTAAAGAAAACATCGACCAGAAGTCGGAACTCATAGGAGATCAGATCCTTGGCACTGCAGAGAAGCCATATGATTGTGATGAGCACAGAAAAGTCTTTCACCAGGAATTCTCTCTCATTAGGGATCAGAGAATTCACACAGAGGGGAAACCGTATGAATGTAATGAGTGCGGAAAAGCATTTAAAATGAAGTCATACCTAATCACTCATCAGAGAATCCACACGGGGGAAAAACCTTATGAATGTGGGCTGTGTAGCAGAGCCTTTACTGATCACTCAGGTCTCAGTAGACATCAGAAAACCCACTCCAGGAGAAAGCCTTATGATTGTAGCTACTGTGGAAAAGCTTTTTCTCAGAAGTCACACATAATCCTACATGAGAGAATCCACACAGGGGAAAAGCCTTATGAATGCACGGAGTGTGGGAAAGCTTTTTCTCAGAACTCACACCTAATTAGACATCAGAGAATCCACACAGGAGAAAAACCTTATGAGTGTAGTGAGTGTTACAGAGGCTTTACTGACCGCTCAGAGCTCAATAGACATCAGAGAATCCACACGGGGGAAAAGCCTTATGAATGTAGTGAGTGTTCAAAGGCCTATACCACAAAATCACCTCTAATTATACATCAGAGAACACACAGCAGAATATTTTGAATGCAGCCAGTGTGGAAAAACCTTTACCAACCAGGGAAGATTCATTAGACATCAGAGAATCCACACGGGAGGAAAGCCTTATGCATGTAGTGAGTGTGGAAAAGCTTTTTCTCAGAAGTCACGCCTGATCAAAGAATCCACACAGGGTAAGAATCGACGCAGGATAAGAACGTCCCGTTTATTGGAAATCCTTTTGCACGCGGTCACTTTTCGTTAAACATCAGAATTCAAATGGGAGAAACATTACGAATGTAGATATTGTGCAGAAGCCTCTTGGAAGCCATCAATTTTCATCACAAAACCATGCAAACAAATATTAGCTACCGTAAACATACTGTCGTGATCTCTCTGCTTACAGAGTGAATGAAACAAGCCTTAGCAACTTTGCAAATAGAAAACACTAAACGTGCAATGGATGTGGAAATACACTTTCCAAGTCTCAGCAAATGTTCCATAATTAACAGTATTTCTGTTCACATGGTATGTGTTGCTGAAATAAAAGCAGTTTGTACAGGATCTTTTTCGGTGAGGGGTAAAATGTGAATGAGTTCTGCTTTCACATGTTTATGCTGTGAATAAATGTTCAGTGCACAACGCTCATTTGGAATATCATCTTTATCATTTGCAGATTGTATGTAATGCGATTTTGTTAGAATCTCAAAATTCCACATTCTATTACGGACTGCTATTGGAAGCACAAACATCAACTGACGCATGTGGCAATTATAATGCTAAAGATCCAGCTTTGAGGGACGAATCTTGACCAGAGTGATGATTCTCTTGGGACATCAGACCAAATGTGGATCCCGTTTAGCCGCTGTCACTCCTTGAATACTGTTGTGGGAGATCACCCCTGGACTCTGCCTACTTGGTCCCCGTAAGAGGTATAGGCACATGGCACATGGTGTTCCTGGCATAACCCCTGACAGTAATCTTGGCTGATAATCAACTCCAACAAATTAAATCCAACCCTCATTCTGTTTTCCAGTCACATGTAACGAACATGTCGCCAAGGCATACTTAATAGTCCTGGCGCTAGCTTGTCTTGGCCTATTGGCATGTGGCTTGAAACATAGCCTGCAGCCCTGTGTGAAATGTGACCTGTGCCTTGATTATTGGTTTGGG